TTCCCCCCCCCCCCCCCCCTACTTCTTCATTATTAAGAGAGAAAGCGCCAAATGAACGGGATTTCACATAATATATTGTGAAAATAGGAAGATGGTAGATATCAGTTGGGACCAAGCAAAATTATTAATAAAAGAATAATAAAATATTTGAATGAAAGACTATAAAAACAGAATGAAAAATAAGAGAGTGGACGGCCGCCATATATTCATATAAGGTTCACAAACAATGATGAATTGCCGATAAAGTTTTTCGTTCTTTACTTCATATAGACCCCTGATTTTTTTTTAAACAGACAGATAATAAGTTATAATAATTTATATTTTAGATAAAATATCCACTTGAAGTGACCAAGAATCTGAATCAGAAACAAGAGACAATATGGAGCATACGAATCTAACTCTTATATTTGTTTGGAAAGTGGTCACACGCTTCTCTTTACCGACAATTATATTAACCCGATCAGCTAGTTCGAAAATAAAACCAGTGTAACGATTAACTAGATAGCAAGTCCAACCATGTAAGGTACCAACAAAAAAAAAAAGTCCAACCGTGCTGGTTTTTGTTAATTTTAATAGTATAAGCTGGGTTAGTGTACCGGGTATTACACTGAGAAATGAATCACTGACTGTCTAGTCCAAAAATACTGGTAACTAATAGAAAAAAAAATGGATCACAACAGATCAAAAGTATATAATAAGATATATCAACGTACATATTACAAAAGATTGAGATCCAAGAAAAAAATAAACGATAGAGATATGGGCTACGTATGCGGCATATGGATCACAATATGAATATCCAAGGAAGTAAACATTTCCGGAAGCAACAAGACAGAGATGCGTATGTATATATGTATATGTATATATATGAATTATGTCAATTCGAAGTGTCAGTACAAATGGAGCTATATCCAACGTTTTGGTACTTTTCATGACTCGTCTGTTTTGTTTCTTCCCAATAAATTTTCCTCAAAGGGACCATTGATCTTCTCTCTGATCTTTCTTTGATCTTCATTACCCTCCCCGCTGTCTCGTGACAGTTTGATTTGTGTGATGTGAATCTCTATCTCTGGATCGAATGATTCGTTTATGATAACAGATTGATTATTAGTACTTCATCCAATTTACATTAGATCATATTCCTCTCGCATAGAGAAAAAAATATTCACATATATTACGAATGGTAACAGTAAAAGTCTAGATAAAGTAGTAAAACTTAGAAGTGTAAAATTCAAAGCATGATGAGGATGTACTGACTATCGGTGATAAACCAAATTTTCGTATGAACACGGTTTTAAAATAGTACCGAGGCGGTAAAAAATACGTCAATACAAACAAGAACTAATATTTTTGCAATTATAAAATGGAAAAAAGTTTCTCAGCTACACGAAGTTTATACTAATATGGTGGAAACCATTTAATGTATAAAAATGTGTCAAGAACTACATGAAGTATATGTTAATACATGCCACATGTACGAAGTAAATGATATTATGGTGGTAACATCAGAATCAGATTTAATTGTTCTTAAGCTAAGTTAATGGGGTCAATCCGTAATTTATGAAACTTAATAAACTTAATTGATTTTAATTATTAAAGTTAATAAAATTAATAAACTTAATAAACATAATATTTTTAAAACTTAATAAAATTAATAAACTTAATAAACTTAATAATTTTTGTTAAACTTAATAAATTTATTAAACTTAATAAAATTATTAAACTTCATAAACTTAATAAACTTAACAAACTTAATAACTTATAAACTTAATAAGTTATTAAACTTAATATACTTAACAAACTTAATAAACTTAATGATTTATTAAGTTTAATACATCTTATTAAGTTTAATAAATCTTATTAATTTTATAAAGTTTATTAAGTTTTTTAAAATTATTATTTTAATAAGCTAGAATCCTAAAACTAATAAACAAAATAATTTAATAAATTTATTAGTTTTAATAAGTTTAATAATTTAATAAATTTATTTAATTATTATGTTTATTAAGTTTGCTAAGTATATTAAGTTTAATAACTTATTAAGTTTATAAGTTATTAAGTTTGTTAAGTTTATTAAGTTTATGAAGTTTAATAATTTTATTAAGTTTAATAATTTTTTTAAGTTTTTTAAAAAATATTATGTTTTTATGTTTATTAGTTTTATCAAATTTTTTAAAAATATTATGTTTATTATGTTTATTAATTTATCACATTTTTAAAAAATATTATGTTTATTAAGTTTATTATTTTATTAATTTTAATAATTAAAATTAATTAATTTTGTTAAGTTTCATAAATTACGGATTGACCCCATTAACTTAATTTAAGATCAATTAAACTCGATTGTGATGTTGCCACCATAATATCATTTACTTCGTACATGTGGCATGTATTAACATATACTTCGTGTAGTTCTTAACACATTTTAATACATTTGATGGTTTTCACCATATTAGTGTAAACTTCGTGTACCTAAGAAATTTTTTTTCTTATAAAATTTATGGTATTATTTATGTGACTGTTTCATAGTTGGAGTGAAGCATAATAAAATTCTTCAGTAACCTGATTTTTAAAATAATTACTCTAACTATCACTTTCCATTCTTTTTGATTATTTTTGCACTCTAATTGCCGGAAAGTCACACCCTGTGAGTTTGTGAGTTTAAAATTTATTCGTTAA